CCCCAAAACCCCAAAACCCCAAAACCCCATCAAAAGACATAACAAAGAAATTATACATTCATTAATATTATCAAATGCATATATTCACCTTTGAATTATTGCTTTAGTTATATTAATTTACTGATCATTGAGATTAAATATTTTGCTATTCACAATACAAACAACCTTTATCACTTTACATTTTAGACTCTATTTGACTTGCCTCAGGGTTTTCTATAATCCTCTGATTTCCGCCTAAGGAAATATTATGAATCTAGTCAGAACTCATGCAAGACTAGTAGTCCTTTGCTGTCATATAGTCTTGATAGGTGCATGACCCGCCTCCTCCGAATGCACTTTTATATTCTGATAAATTTGATTATGAGGGTGTTCTTTGATATTCAAGGTTATTAGCTGGCATTTTCTTGCTGAATGAATCGATACTCTCTAAATTGTTTTATAGTAATTGGGATTTTAAACCTAGCCTGTTTTTAAATTGTTGTTTAAAGTTTTTCTCTACCAGCTATGAAAATTAATGATCCAATGGAGAAGGTCTGATGTCCTTTTGCCTTTCACTTTCAAAACCGAAAATCTATTCCTCTTCAAATTCCATAGGCAGAGACTATTAAGCACTTTATTCTTGAAATTTATTTTCCTCAGTCTCAAAGTTTAATTTATTCTGATTTGCTAGCATTTCATTGCATATAATAACTTTTTATGTGAAATTTCCACCTTCCTAGCACCTCTGTAGCTTTCCATTGCTGAACTCTTTCTGCCTCAACTATGAGGGGATGTAATCAAAATTTGATCTATGCTAAGCATCGTACTCATTGCTCATGTCATTATTGTATTCAATTGATCTATCTATAGGAGATGGCTTTTATTCGCTCATCAAATTCTTGTGATAAATCCGAGACAGGCATTAATTATTATCAAAGGTCAAATCGTCAAAAAGGCATTACTGCTGCTCCTATTCTTAAGCAGTGCGATTCGTGATATCCTAGAGTTTATTCTGATTACGATTCTTATCACTGACTAAACCTGCTGAATGCTTAGACTACACCAATTGATTGCTGTCTTTTCTAAAGTAATGAATGTTGTTTCTCTTATTATCTCTTTGATTCAGATTCAAAGAACCTTTGCTGGCTACCACTGCTTATGAACGAGGCGTGAATACTTCTTTTTATTGAGAATGGTTGTTTATATGATTCATGTAGCTCTGACTCCTACTGAAGTCCTCAAGATTTAGATAATCTTCTGCTCCACCAGAGTCATTAAGCTTAATAGATCTGACTTTCTTCTATATAGATTGATGATAATTTACTCGCTTATGATATTAAATAGTAATGCAATTTATATGTGTAAGAGCATACCTTATTTTTGTAGTTGTTAGAATCGTTTTTCTTTGGTGAGGTTTTTATGCACCAACAGTAGTTGCCCATTTTTAGTACTAATTAATTTTAGTCTGATCCTGCTAAATCTGACTCTGCAATCAAACACTATAGAATTTAATTAGAAAATGCAGTGCTGAGTGCTCTGATTAATTTAAAAGTTTGATTCCTAAATTTCCAATAAACTACGAATTATTTAATTAAAATCTGATAAAGCCTACACTGAATTATATTTAATCTCTAAAGGGGTTTATAATCTTAATTTTAGAATTTGAAACATGTCTAAAAAGCAATAAACGCAGGCGCAGTAATAACAGTAGCAGCAATAGCAAAATTAAATGCTGTAACTTTCTTAGCTACAGTTCATTAACAACTCAAACCAGAATATTAGTTCGTTGATATTAGAGCCTTTAGATCAGAATAAATACAAGCATAGACTAAATGAAGATCAAACAGCCACCCCTAGACTTACCAGTAGACAGCATAAAAAGCTTACTACCATCTAAAGCTCTCTTGAAAATTTACCAATAGTTAGGAATGTCAAGGAGAAGTATGGTCTCTAGGGAAACAATGAATTAGACAGGATGACGACATTGGACCAGCAGAACAAGATTAAGTTTGAGAAGAGAAATAAAGGCGGAGGTAAAAATCTACCCCCTTTAAATGATGAGGCTGGCAGCAAAATTGACAGCTAATAATTTGAAATGAAAATGTACAAACACCTTTAGCCTAGGAATTCCTCAGTAAACCAGGATCTTTCTTAGTATGAGCACCTTACTATTAACCCAATAAATCAGAATAGCAATATAAACTCTGAGGAATTCAAGATCTCAAACGTAAAGAACGGAAGTGTCAATGGAGGGGTAGGCGGCCATTAAGGTCTTCAAATTTAGCATAAATATTCTTTGGAATCCCTGCCAATGATAAATATGAATAGATCTCCACTGAATGGTAACAATGGAAATGGTTAGGGTAAATAAATTAATGTAGCTTAGTAGAGACATGATCAGTCCATATCATTTATGGATGAGAAGTCATTTATGTTTGAGGACTCTGACAACTAGGACTGGTCCAAAAACATAAATAAAAAGAAGAAACTCAAAGGGGCAATCAATAGCTAGCTGCATTAAGCAGGAGGACAGTAGTAGTAGTTGCCCTCAGCTATTGTGAGATAGTCTGGAGTTAACATGTCAATTTAGGAAATTACCAAGTAAGCTAATGATCAAGGTAATAAATTTTCATTCCCAAAGATATGAGAGGGTTTGAAACGATGAATGCCTGAAGTTTTATGTAAATTATAGCGAATAACCCATATAAAGCAACGCGCAGTCTACATAGTTTTGATCTTAACTTAGACTAAGATATATTTTAATAGCCAATAATGAAATTTATTTTAATTGCTAAGAATATTCAAACAATAAATTATAATGACTGCTTATAATAATGATTTGCATTACTCATTCCTTCTTCTAGGAAATTGATTTGCTTTATTTGGATATTGAGCTTGATCTCGAAGCCCTCGAGCGTTTCAACTTAAACATATTTCTATATTCATATCTTTCATTGTCTCTCTATATATTATTGTAAGCTTCAGATCCCTTGATAATGTAATCCAAATCTCTATCCTTAAACTTCTTTAAATCAGGAGCTTTATCCTTCTTTACATGAGCGAGCTAATCATAGCATTTGGAAATATCGTTGAGTTCATGCGTTTAAATAATTGTAGTAACAGGCTTTATTGCATCATAGATCGATTTTTGTTACTGATCTCTGCTAATCACTTTCTCAAAGTTCCTCATATGCTTATCTTTTCTTTCATCAACTATTTTAAATGAAGGATCATATATCAAGTTTCTTGGTCCCTCACTCAGCTTTTAACTTGGTCTTTTCCTAGATTATTGATTAAAGTTTTCAAATTCTCGAGGAAGATTCTTTGACATATCTGGTCCTTTTAGTAATCTAGAAGCATTTGATTATTTCTTATCACTATTGGTCAAGTTAAAAGTCTTATAAGGATTAATAGGCTAGTTTCTGAATATATTCGATCTATTTATTAGTTATTTTTACTCCATATCCGCTGCCTAAGTAAAATTCTAATGCATAGTGAGTTGATACTCACTTTAATGCTTTGACGACTCGGTTTAGTTATTATTTATACCAGTCTTACTATTTCGATAAGACACATCATGAAATGAGAACTCTTCTTAAATACCTTTAATGTGAGAACTGAAACCATCAATAGGTCTAAAAGTTGTTGTTGTATTATTCTCAACATCTGTTATAATTACATGGCCACTGTCTGCATTATTTCCGTTAAAACCATAGAAATCACCTAGATATGATTTATGAGTAGCAGCGCTGCCTATTCTTTAACCTGGTTAGGATCTGGGCTAGTTCGCTTAGTATGAATTTAACGAAGTTGATGCTCCTATAGACTATTAAGGGTGATACCTTTAATCTATTGACTACCCTAACTTATTGTTTCTTTTTAAGTCATAGGTCATATTCTTTTCAAATGACTCATCAAAATTTTTTATTAGTTGTTAATTAGATTCATATGTGTTTCTACTGAAGGGTACTACCTGTACCATTTGAGCAGTACTAATTCTTTTAGCTTCGATCGGAATTTAGTTGAGGTTAATTCTGTAATTTAAGCTTTCTTGAGTCATTAATCTTTATTTAGGAGATGAACTAACTCTCTATATTTGCATTTCATGAGTTGGAGACTTTAACTTTGGTGATTAGTCATTTTTGGAGGATTTTCTTTTGGACATTGGCGAGCTGCGTTCATCATTAGATGCATCTGAAAGTCTATGCTCAATAATCTTAATCTAAACGTCATCACGAGCAGACCCAGTAGAAGAACTTAGTATTTATGCCTTACTATCGCTAGCAGGCATCAAAGACTAAGATCTGATATCTCTTCTATGCTTAAAATTTCCTAAACCACCTTAGACATACCTCCTGAACTTATCGCATACTTGAAATTTCTCTATAAATTATTTTTATTTGAGATCTTTAGCAGCGATTTCATTTTCCCTTCGTTCCTCTAAGATTACATAGTTGCTTTTATCATACTTCTGGATTGATGTGAATTTCGGATTATAATGTCCAATAGGAGGTGGAGCATCATCTCTAAACATGTTTTAATGGACTATATAGTAATGATCTCTAGATATTGATTTGAACTGGCAACTGTTACTCACTGGCCTTGATTTTAATTTCTTCATAGCTTAGCTTTGACTCTCTGTTTAGTTTTCATCTTGCTAAGGTTATACAGCATTTTAAGTTTGTCTTCTCTTTCTTCTATTCTTAGACTTATCACCATCAAGTCCACCAGCACTGGGACTGAGATTGTCATCTGGCTTGTCTTTTCTTTTAGGCACATTCTTCTATTTTTACAACTCTATTTCTATCTACACTAATCTATTCTCAATCCTATTCTAATATTAACGTTAGAATATAATAATATTATGTATTTTTAAGATGAAGTTGCTCTATAATTGCAATAATTACCTTTTCTTATTATAATTGATCTCCAACATCTTTGTATTCTCTGAAGAATGTTTGAAGCTGAGTCTCTCTCCTATTTTTTAATAGTTTATCTTTCTTCTCTTAATATCCTTCTTGAAATACTTAGAACTTGAAATTTGACTTTTTGCCAATTCGGGAAAATACAGGCACACCAATCTTACTGTTGCCCTGTATTTTTTCTATAATAAACATTTTATTTTAATATAAACTCTTTGCTTAATATATTTTGATTATTATTTTGACTTTAAAATATGCTTAATTCTTATATCCATGGGGTTTTGGGGTTTTGGGGTTTTGGGG